TACCAAAACCACTATTTTGGCAAGCATTTAAAAATGAAGAAATTGACAATGACTTGAATTTCAATTATAATGACTATGGTGAAAATTATGATGATGATAATGATTTTGATGAATTTATTAATTTAGAAGATAGTATATAGTAACAATCAAGAATTCTATGAAGATGTATAACATAAGTTTATTGCAATTAATATTTCTTATAAATAAATATTCAAACCAAAATTGTTATCTTATTACATATTAGTGGTATATACCAACCAATGGTATATACCATTTATACCCAGTATATACCATGGTATATACCACAATTGATTTCTTGTGTAATTTTTTAGTAGGGTATATACCATGGTATATACCCCTCAAATCGTTTATAACATGTTATATACCATCCCTAAGTAGAGTATTAAATAATACAATTTATTGGAGATAAAACAAGTAAATGGTAATGATATAAGAAATAATATAAGATAGAAAAATTTGTGTAAAGTAACTACATAAGTTTAGAGAAAATGATCAATATACATAAAATTTTTTGTTTTAAGGTGCCACTAACAATTTCATAATTAATAAATTATATATTTTCTTGCAGTATGTCAATTCTACCAGATAAAAGGTATGATGATTTTTCTGTTATTAGGAAATTGATCTTTAAAATTGATTTTATACCACTTTAAATTAGATTTAGCTCTAGGAATTAAATTACTTATTGTTAAGATTAAAAATATTAAAGGTGGTAAACCATAATTGCAACAAATAAGATAGCCAAACCATTCAATTATTTCACCCAAATAATTTGGATTTACCAAATATTTAAATAACCCTTTATTTGGTATGAAATATATCCTTCCCCGTATTATTATTGATGATGATGATGATGATGATGATGATGATGATGATGAGGCCTGATATTTTCTTAGATTGAACAGTATTTCATCATGATATAAATTAATTCCCATACCAATAAAAAATATAATTGCTCCAATTATAAATCTGGTAGTTTTATAATCTTCATCCTTAAGCTCACCAAATTTAGTTATAAATCTTGAAATAAGATAACTATTCAATATGTTAACTATTATTGCACTAAATATTATTAATAAATGAATTGGTGAGATAGAAGCTGATCTGATTGTAAAAATGATAGTTCTATTAATGTAATGAATTAAGAAAAACACTAGTAATAATGTTTGCGTCATTGTTAAATTATTAGACACAAATAAACTTGAAAGAAATATAATAATTGTAGGTGATTCCATTATAAGCCATCCTAATTTTCCTGGCATTTTTAGAAATTTACTCGAATTCCATTGAAATTTACCTGAAATAAATAGAGATGATTACGACAACGATAGAAATGAAGATTATTCTAAAGAAAGAAAGACGTAATCACTCTATGTATATATAACTCACCATACGGAGCATCAAAAAAAAACAAAAACGAAAATATAAACAAAGAAAAACTGAAATAAATTTTTGTTGCTATGTCATAATAGATTTTTTCATTTTCGTGAAATTTATCAAACAAATTTCGGTTAATTGTGTTCATTTATTTCTTTGTAAAAAATATATTTTGCGGTAGAAGTAAGAAAGGATGAAATTTCATTTATTAAAAGCAATAAAGGTAAAAAAATGAATGAAATAAATGATCCAAATAATCTAATATTTATTTGCAGTCACAAATAATTAATTTATATATATTCTTATAATAGAAAACTAATTTTTTTTATTTTCATCATAATTTTTCAACAACAAAATCATCATCACAATATAATATTTTATTTTTTGGCACAAATAATTTTTCTGTTGAATCATTAAAAGCATTGATCAATGAGAAAAGTTAATTAATGTTAATAATTAATTATTTGATCAATTAAGTTTTATTGAAAATTATTAAATTTCTTTATATTTTAAAAAGATAATTCCAATTCATTTGTCAAATCAATTGAAGTAGTGATACCACCTGAGCATAAAACAGGAAGAGGATTTAAAAATTTAACAAAATGTAATTTTATAATATTTAATTAATCATATATGTTTTTTTTAAATAGATTTATTAATTCGTTTGTAGGTCCCGTTAAATTATTTGCAGAAAAACACAATTTAATTATTCATGAAGCACCTTTAAAAGCTCTTTTTAAAGATTGGAGGGTAAATAAGTAAACTTAAAATCTTAATTTTTTTTAGTTGATGTGTTTTGTTAATGTTTAATTATATGTTTTTAGGTTCCAAAACCAAATGATAATCTATCATCGCAATTTGATATTGGAGTTGTAGTATCTTTTGGATATTTTTTGACTCCTTCAATATTAGATTCTTTTTTAAACGGTTCTATTAATGTTCATGCCTCTCTATTACCAAAGTATTATTATATCATGTTTTTATTAAAAAAGATTTTTAATGTTTTTATTAAAATAACATGAAATTAATGATGATCAGATATAGAGGAGCATCTCCTATTCAATATGCTATTTTAAATGGAGATGAAGAAACCGGCGTTACCATTCAAGAACTTGATTATAGAATATTTGATGCAGGAAGAATTATCAGATCAATAAAAATTGTGAGTAGAGTGGGTTTAATTATATTAATATTATACGTATATTTATATATTTAAATAATAATGATGATAATTATTATTAATTAGCCAATTCCTTTTAATTCAACTTATTTAATACTTGAAAATATACTTGCATCCAAAGGAGCCGAATTGTTAATTGATACTTTGAGCAATTATAACCAATACAAAGTAATAATAATCATTATTTAATAATAAAGCAAATAAAATTTTATCATATTAATTAGTTATTGAAATTATATATTTATAGAGATTGGCAAGTGATCAAGATGCTTCTAAAATTTCTAAAGCACCAAAAATTACAAAAGTTATGTCAGAAATTAAATGGAATCAAATGTCATCTTTACAATTGGATAGGCTTTATAGGGCTATTTCACATCAAGTAATAAATAATACTTTATTAGTTGAAGATAATTCTATTCTGAAAAAAAAATTTATTTTCTTGTTTTTTTACCTAGTATCCATTGACAACTAAGTTTCAAGGCAAGAAAATTCAATTGCATAATATTTCATTACCAACAATTTCTGAATATGAAACAATTTACAAACAAATTGAATCATTAAATAATAATGATCCTGGCACAATAATAATTTGCGATCAACATAAAAATAAATCATCATCATCACCATCATCCAACGTTTATGTTTTATGTTCAGATAATAAATTTATATTGTGCAAATCTGTAAAAATGGAAAAAAAGAATGAATTATTAATTAAAGATTGGATTAATGGATATAGAGTGATTAGTGGAATGAAATTTGACGATTAACAGCAAAATTATCTGGTTAAGAATTTAAGTGCCTGGTCATTTCTTTTTTAGTTATTGGATATTTATATACATGTAAAACTTTTATTTCAAATAGTGTAATTACACAATAATCTAAGAAAAATTTAATTTTTTTTCATTAACACATATCCTCAAAATCAACTTTATTACTTTTTGAGTAATACATTTTCTACATTGGATTCACTTGAAGATGACTCATAATCTGAGAGTTCAGTATCAGTGTCTCTACCGAATACCTCGTCGAACTCTCGGAAAAATGGATGATCCAAAGACCATTTCAATTTTGCTAGTTGTACTTCGTTTGGAACGAAATAATTTTCTTTAGGGAATACTTGACTTTTTCCAATATCACAATTTTTGTTAATGCTGATTGTGTGTGTTTCATCCTCATCTTCGTCATTGTTAATCGTAGGTAACGATTCACTTGCTGATTGAATTTCATCGTGAATCATTTTTTTTCCTTTATTAATAGGATTGTTATTAATATTTACGTTTTCATCATTTGATAACAATGCTGCAATGCTACTAACACGTTTACTCGTTGTTGAAGATGATGACAACGACAACGATGATGATGATGATCTCTCTTCATCTTGTTCGTGTCTTTCGGAATATTGCTTTTTTTCGCTTGTAACTTTATGATGATTATCCAAATAATCAATATTTTGTGTTGAACTTAATGGTGCTCTGAAGGCTTCGTTGTAATTACTATTAACAATCTTTTTATCTGCCATTTCGCGTATCCTAGGATATATTTTGATTTGAGTAACATGACTAAAAACAATAGTTTCTTTCCTATTAAAAGGAATTGTTGACTGTTTGGCAAATGTATTGTTGATTTGAGGTGATTTAGTATTTGAAGTTGGAACTCTATAGGTTTCTTCATTATTATTATCACTACTGCTTGATAAAACACTATTACTAGTAGTACTACAGAAGCCACTATTATTATTATTATTATTATTATTATTATTATTATTATTATTATTATTATTATTATTATTATTATTATTATTA